CATTCAAATTCGTTCTTACTCTTGTACCCCCTACTGTGGAATTGGCAGTGCATATAATGAGCTAACATTTCGTGTTTTTCACCTTCGTTTATTCCTCATCCGGCTGTCCTACGCTTAGTGACAGTCCGATTCCTGCTTTTATGGTACCGCATTGTGTGATATCATTTCATGGGTAAACTGAGTATCTCAATGTGACTCAGCCACAGGTAAAACCTCTAAAAAACGTACAATCACTGAGGTAACCCGATGCAAAATAGAAGCACTTTGAGAGCAATGAACCCAGGCTCGCTTTTGAAACCTGTGAAACATCTCATAAAGTAGCTTATTACCATTAGTACCCATCGACTGGCATTACATGAATGCAACGGAGCGATGGTTTATGACGGGTATTGTTGGGTGGCGCCTGATATACTAGTCGGCAATGAATGACACGTAAGAGATGTGTTAACTAGGAGAAAATATGAAGGATGATGGTGACCGAACCCAACGTGTATTATGCAGGCTGCAAAAATAGAAAGCGAATCAATCAGAGCGAGAAACCGTACAGCAAGGTACTCACCAAAGCGAATGCAGGATAACTGGCTACCGAAGGTAGCCTGATATATATGTATGCATTTCAGAAGTAGATGTTGCTTGAGCTCACCTGTGTGGATGCGCCTGATGTGAATGTTGACAAGGTGCCTACTTGTCTATTACCCACTACCTCGTCCATACTGGCTCCAGGAGACAGTTGGTCGTCGCTGGAGGGGACGGAGTGCACCGTCCTCGTGACGGTGCTAGGCTCAAAGAGTGGTTCCATGCAACCTGTGTGGAACGGGCTACGGTCCAGCCACCGCCTCGTGTACGTCTGGTGTGTATGATTTCCCAACTAGGCCGGAATGCTTCCGTTCTGCTTGTTGAAGGAGTGTGGGCCGGCTCCGTTGATGAAACCTGGCTCCCATCCGCGTGCCTCCCGGTCTTATTCCTTCGGGTTTACACCGGATAGGGGGTGTGTGGGTGGAACTATGGGTGGTGCAGCGCAAGCCACCCATGGTCACCTTTGTAGGCGCAGGCGTCCTGTGACTGTCCCCATGGACGTCACAGTGACAGGCAACTCCGGATACGGACGTCGCCAAATCATATATATATATATATATATATATATATATATATATATATATATATATATATATATATATAATACATTCCATGACAGGTTCAACAGAAAAACAGCTATCTCCACCTGACGAGTCCAAACCAGGAGAAATCGCTGTGGTGGTGTGCCAGTTTTGGGAAGAGCAACACCCTAAATATATCCTCTCAGTATAGGGTCCTCGAGATCGGAATGACCGAGGTTTACCTCAATGTGAACCGAGGTCTCAATAGAGGTTGCGCGTGGCAACCCAACCACACAGTGTGCTCCCTAAATCAGCTTTGAATTACTTTCCGCTGTGCCAAGCGTTGCTCGCGGATCTCAGAAGCATAATGTTCAACGCGTCAGCCATCAAGTACTAAGCTCGGAGTTCCACCCCAGCTCAGGCTATCTCCACCTGACGAGTCTAAACCAAGACGAAACCGCGGTCGTGGTGTTCCAGTGTTGGGATGAGCAACACCCAAATATTTCCATCTACTTCGACTAATTTATTGGAGACATTTCATGAGATGAGCCAAGGCATATCGAGGCAAAATATCTAGAAATGGCCACCGATATTTCTCACACACAGTAATCTTCTGGATAAACTGTGGCTCACCGTCTCAAAGCGGAAATCGGATACCATGGGCTCATTTGGAAGCACATTATGAGTGTGAATGAAATATGGCACAGTCTCCATCTAGACCGCCAGTCGCTTTGAGGTGATTCTCTGCCTTTCAGGTAACAAGGGGACCGAATCAGAAACAGACAAACGCCAGTTGTCGTCCACCAACAACACAATGCACCTTAAGACACAGTAGAACTACCGCACATAGAGACTACCCACCGATGAGTTAAGTAACTTGGTTTCCTGCCAGTAGCCAGTGCTTGTGTCAAGTCAAGCCAAGTCAAGTCAACTTAAGCTTTATCCACTCGCGTGGCGTTATGCGAGCTATGCATTTTTGATTTTGATCGATTAGACCCTTGCGCCACCAGACCGGATTCACTGTTGTCAAAATCAATTATGCAGCGTGCCCCGATCGTTTGTCAGTGCAATTCGCCATGGATACCGGCGGCTGCATGGTCGGTATCTGCAGCAATGGGTATACGCGTGTGGGACCGAGGCAACTTTACTTGGGTCGCAAGTGGTTAGCCGGTACAAATCCCAGTGTGCTTGAGGTGTCCAAGCCGGGATGAAACAGCTTGACTAAGGTTATGTTTCGATCTCTCAACATAAGCTTCCCTGCTCGAACACTGTCCGGAGCTGAAAGCGACGGTTACCAGTTCATTTGTGCTCATATACAACAGAGCTAAACGTATGAACTTGCCACCCATCATTTGCATGAATAAGTGACAATCAAGCTTGGAAATAGGTCATAATAATTGCGAAAGTATTTTAACAAAAAGGTAATAATTACAATAGGCCTTCGCTTAATGCCAGCCAGATATATTACCTGGTGGTCCAACAGATTTGTTGAGATTCTCTGCGGTGCTGTGACCGGCTCTAATTTCAACTAGTCAATTTCCACCTGTAAAATGCATACGAAAGTGAACTTATTGTTGGGTTATTTTGAACTACGCATTGTGTGGTTGGATTGTGACGAGCAATCTCACGGTGGACCGCGATTCGCATGCAAGTGAATATCGGTCAGTTCGACCGCTGGGAAAAGAAATTTTGTGGGGATTTTAGGCGTGAATAGGAGTAAAGCATAAATTTTTTTGATTCGATGGAGAAGGGCACCCGTATCGCCGATATATAAATTAGTGGCCACTGGATCCCTAGGTTCCTGTTCAGCCTGTTGGAAAATTGAGTACTTTGTAACCAAAGGAAGTCTTGATCCGAACGGCCAAGCAATATCCTCTGTACCGGCAAAAGCCTGCATGGCAGTTGATCACGGTCACATTTCAATCCACGATGATCGGCTATCGTCCCCTATGACTCAGTGGCTGGCTAGTGGTGCAAACCACCGGTGGTCATGTGTCCGATCCCCACAGTGAACCGACGGAATGCGCATCACTGACGGATACCAAAAGGACGAAACGATCGGCTGGCGCTTTGCCGGAATGGTAGCTCACCTATGCGCTTTACACTCTAATTGCGATGAACAAAATAAAATCCCAATAAGAATTGCCGGTGCACACTGCGAGAGTCTGTACGCACCCAACGGTGCGGTCCAAGGATCCGCCCTCGGCCCGCTACTGTTATAATCAATGCCAATGATTTGCTAGCAAGCGTTCATTCACAAGTACAAATATCTGCGGATAATGCCAAAAACTGTAAAGCGGTTCACTCAACACCTGACCGTGACCATCTTTAGAAGGATCTGGACCGGATTCACAAATAAGCAGAAATGAATCAGCTTTTCTGAGCGCTGCAAAGGGCCAACTGTCAGCGCTATGCAACAGCATCTATCACGCATACCAATTGTGGCAGGACACTTTGCAGAACGTAACTAGTGAAAGAAACCTAAGTATCACTATTGAAGTACTTTTTGGAAATTCGCTCCCGGGCATGGATCTACAACACGTGACTAGTGAAAAGGACTTAGGTATCATCGGTCAAGTAGGTCCAGGAAATTCGCTCCAAGGTTTGATAGCAGCAAAGGTTGCGATTTTGAACTTACGGCTTCTGCTGTGGGTTCTTTGCACTTTTGAGTAGCGGCTAATACCATTGATCGACTCGTATATTCATCTCCAAGTTGGACGTGCGGTTCAAACTACGTGTCCATGTTTACAACGAAACATTTATCTTTCGGAACATCCCACCAGAAGAGCTAACAAGTAAAACCCTAGATTATCTTGTCCCTATTACAAAACCTGCCTTCGTTTAATGAATGGACTTTTTATAGAATATCGGCAAATGTGCGGGGTTTTCATTCTCACATACCATATACTGACAGAGAATCATCCCCTATGTAAACTATTGCTGTCCCTGGCTCCTTACAAACAATGCCGAGTCCAGGAACTGAAACTAGGAACTCAACATCCACTTGAACTATAAAAGTTCTTTTACTCCCTTAGAACCACCTCACACGGGAATGCATTGGTGGCACAACGGGTGAACGCACCAAACATCGTGACCTTCGAAAGACTATTAGACTTTCCTTCTAACACTAAAAGCCACGCGTAATTTTGATAAAGTACTATATCTGGACTACTGATTGTTCACGCCTAACGCTAAATATGTTACTAATTCTTTTTGTATTTGCCATCTTGCGGGTCTTGTACGAACTGTACTTTTAATCCTGCTACGCACTACTGAACTACTGAATGCACCAAAACGTAGCATGGACTTAGCCAGGTATGCTACAACAGTAATGTACTGTGTCGATAACACGTTGTACACTAGACTTCGTAGTGCAACGCCTCTACTTCTCTCTTCCTCATTATCAATTGGTTTGATACACCCACCCAAAATCCTGATCGCAGGGCTCGGTTGAACAGGTAGTGGATAAGAATGCGTAGCTGACATTCCAAACTACCAGATTTCAATTTCAGCCAGGATGTAGTGCCCTCGTGACTTACATTAACCACTTATTGCAATGCCTGAGTAATGCGGTTCTATTCAAACATTGTGTTTTCTATTTCGCACTGTTAAATAAGCACTCTGTAATCTATTATTGACTATCTGGGTGGAATACTGACGAACTTGATGTGATATAGAAGCAAATATTCGTAGCCCAGGTTGTTCAGCTGAAAGTCTGATTGTTCGCTGAGCTCGACAGTCTGACTGCAAACGTTTCGTCACCACCCGGGGTGATATCGTCAGTGCACGTTTATTTAGCAGAGCGGCGCCGTACGAAGCGGCAGTGATGTTACCCCATGACAAAAACTTTCACACAGTAAGGATCTTTAAAACAGAAAATGTCATTCAGAACAAGATAATTACCTCGGCATCCGTCAGTCTCACTTCACCTGGGCGAGTAAGTGGTTCTAGCATGAGCAGCAAAGCCTCCGGTAGTCGGCATAGCCCCTGGATAAGGCCAATAATAACGATGAACTTGATGTCACGTGTCCCAATTGTAGTGCGGTCAAGCATCTGCCTGTTGGTCGCTGATCTGTTCGTGTTCACGAGGGTATTCATCATCGCGTTGCGGAGAAGAGCAAGGGCAAGATAGATATTGACCAGGGAGAGAGCACATTCCACGGTGATGCCACTGACCCACTTAAATTCCGCATAACTGGAGGCCAACCGTGCATTTGCATTGAGGGTCTCACTGAAGTCCGAAACTCGCGTGAAATCCGCCGCTTGCACTTTGTTGCCAAAAAGGTATTGAAAATACCCAGCGATCTCGCATCGTGCAATAGGCGCAGTGTCACCACCATGTGATCGCTGCGATCCGTGAATGAAGGCAGATGGATAGTACTGGACGCGCCAGTAAACCGTTTCAACCAGTCCGTACAGGAAGCTCGCGACCACTATGCCCGAAGCAATATGAGCTGCTTTCCGGGCTCTTCCGTTGGCCGTGAGCTGGTGGATAAATGTTATAAAACGACCGGAGGATCTGTCGTAGTCGGAGGCAAGAATTTCCGCGCACAAAGTCAGAGAAAGCACAGAAACTGCGATCTTGGTGGCTGTTGCGAAGGTTCGGACCAATGGACAGGCCAGCTGAGTCCAAGCCAACAGTCCGGTATCCCATGCAACATCCAAGTCGATCAATGTAACAAACACCGCTCGGATGAGATGCATAGCACATAACACTGTTAAGTAAACTGTCTGCGTCGTGGTGGTGTCAAACAATGAAATGTTGGCTGCAATTCGTCGTGTTCCTGAACGTCTCCAGTAGGCGATTCCATAAACGACGGCACAAACAGTGCAGCCAATCAGCGCGAACGGTAGCCATACCGGAGTGAAGTAGCGATCTAAACTAATTGTGCCCGGCGAGAACCGTTGCAACAACAATGACTGAAGGGGGTATCTGCTGAGAAGGTCCAATGGGGCCAGGCCATGTGGTTGAGTAATACCGGCCACAAGAGTCGTCCCAACTGTCGTGGTTGTCTGACGTATCGGTACCTGAAATAATGACATAGCGTGGTTTCCAAAGTGAGTGAAACGACCTTCTCAACTGCAAACTTCCGTTACCTGCAACAACAAAGAAACAATACATTTGATTTAGACGGTTTTCTTTAACACTGAACTGTCATTGATACCTGGCAGACCCTCTAGAAAACTGCTTCCGTCGTTCAGTGTGAAACTCGACAATGTGGAAAGCTAATTCTAGTGGATTGACTTACCGTGTTCGAGTCCCCCTGATATGTTTAATGTTGTCGTCTCAAGGCTCGTGGTGCAGAATTTCGAAAAAAGATTAATGACAACAAAAGCATTAGTCGTCCTAGGATCAAGATCACAGGATTTCAAGAGAACAGCAGCCAGTTGACGTACCGACTGCGTCCAACTTCTGCGTACCACATAACTTATACCAAGTCGCCAGTTCAGCGTGCTCAGTAGGAGTTGGAACGATTGGAGAATTTCGTACATATTCCTCCTTTAGGGGATCGTTCAACCAATGGTTGACAGTGTACTGAAACACAAGGAGCTAAAAAGAAAACTTCTAGGTCACGCCATGGTCTACCAATTTAAGTCCAAAAACGCCTTGGCATGGTTTAAGAGCCATTCATCACCCTGTTTAACTATGGGTAAAGACACAAATTTTTCACGATTCCGCGCAAGCCAGGAAAATCGCGGAAGTTGCTAACTGTTGTGGAAAAGGAAAAGACTTGGTGGAATCGCAAAAAAGGAGAAACTCGTAAGGACGACTACTTTGAATTCCTTTTCGTTATAAGCAATATATTTGCATTCGGAGGAAATGCCAAGGCAGCCAAGTGACTATTGGAACATTTCTATTGAGTTTCATCATCACCATCTGTCCACCCTCTGCTATCCAGGTCCGCTTGTTCCTAGACCCAACTGTCACCCATGCATCTATCCATTAAGCAAGCATATCCCATCTGTCGGCCCACGCTGTGTTTTCAACCTATCGTCCGTTATACAAACATCCTTTGCCCTCATGTACAGTAAAGCTGTTAGACATCTGTTCGGTTTCACCTTTTGCGCATGCGTGGCCGGTGCACAATGACCCCCATTACGGTCATCCGTGAACTTGATCCGCTGTCGCCTCTTAGGCGTTGAACAGCGGCAACTTCGTCACATAGCACTCGGCGGCGCAATGTAAGCGCCCGTGTTAATTCGCTGAAAGACTGAAGTCGTCGTCATCTGTCAGTATAATGGCGAGAATGGTGATTTGTACCCTATTTGAGTATTTCGGGAAAATACTGTAGTGCCAGTACTTAGCAGTTAGTGTTTAGGTTTGTCATTACTGAATTTTCAACATCATTTGAATAGTCCCGTACTTCAGTCTCCGCTTCGTTTTCTTTGGACCTATTACTCGAGGACCAAGCGAACCTGTTACTTACAATAATTAACAGGTTTTATCTTCTGCAGAAGTCATCCCATAAAAGGAAACAGCATGTAGAAAAAGGGGAGTGAAGGAGTTTCCTGGAAAATACTGTCGATAACGCGAATAAAATACTACTGTTTTGTTCATCGCGTGAGGTGACTGTAGATCCATCTCAAAATTCAACCGTGGTTAACCACATTCGCAGCCAGAAGCATCTGCAGCAGAAAGCTTGCAAGGAGAAGCAAGCAGCTAAACGTGTTGCCAAGAGAACCCAGCTCTGAAGACACCTCGACAGACAGGCATCGTTAGTTCCATCGCCGTTGTAACTGCTGCCCAGGAATATATATATATATTATACACAATCTGTGGTACAGATATTGTGCCATCGGAATCATGGCTGAATAGGAAAACAATATGAATAATAAGAAAAGAGCAACAGGAAATGCTTTTTTTGTCAAGTTTACCACTCACAGTTTTTGAAATTTTTTTCAGTTTGTTCGTTTTTAGGGGGAGGAGGAAGGGACACCGCAACACACTGATGCACACGTCCGCCATTGACATCGATCTTGAGCCATAACTTCCAAGGTTTTCAACCAGCAAGTATCCTCGTCTCTCGGACCCCAACCAGGTAGTCGACAACAACCGGCCGAGGCCAATTGTTTCGTCAACTTTTTCATGCGGCTTCTCCATGTTGTAGGCTGTCCACCAGACCGTCTCTTCCAGCCCTGTCCAGCAAGTGCAAACAACGCACGACGGGGGTAACGCTGGACAGGCATGCGCAATACGTGTCCCAACCACCGCAGTTGATGCAGTGAGATGAGCTCCTCGAGCGAGTGGCTTCCACGTCCCAAGACACGCTGTCTAACTTCCACATTGCTTACGTGGTGCTGCCACCACACACGGGCAATGGACCGCAGACAGCGGTGCTCGAAGACGGATAGCCTGCGCAAGTCATCTTTACGAATGGGCCAGGTCTCGCATCCGTACAACAGTACAGCACGAACAGTTGCACAATAGACCCGCCCTTTGATGGAGAGACGAATGTCGTGGCGACGCCACAAATGCCTCAGCCTAGAAAAAGCGAGGCGTGCTTTCGAGATGCGCATCGAAATCTCGTCTCCAACAGCCCCGCCAGCAGTGATGCAACTTCCCAAGTAGACAAAGCTCTCCACAACCTCCAGTGTCTCACCAGCAAGCGTGAGTGCAGGCAGAGGCACCTGCCAGTCTTGAAGGAGAGCCTTGCATTTGGATGGCGAAAAGCACATACCATACTTTGATGCTTCAATCGTCAAGCGGTTTAATGCAAGTTGGACGACCTGTGGATCGTCACCTAGCAAGACGATATCATCAGCATAATCCAAATCAACAACTCGACTACCTGGGAGGAGCTCAACGCCAGCGTTCAACGAATCGCTCAGAGCGTTCTTCAGGACATCCTCAATGGCAAAGTTGAATAGGAACGGAGAGATAGGGCATCCTTGTCGAACTCCACTGGAGACCACAAAGGTAGGCGAAAGCATGCCATAAGCCCTAACCCTGCCCGAGGTCAGACTGTACAGAGCGCGCAGTATGGAGACGAACTTCTCGGGGACACCGTTCCTCAGAAGGCACTGCCACAGTACTGTACGATCGACAGAATCGAAGGCAGCACGGATATCCAGGAACACAGCAATCGTTGGCCTCTGATACACATGGCGGAGCTCGAGGATCTGGCGAAGTGTGAAGATTTGATCGATGCAGCCGCGACCAGGGCGAAACCCAGCTTGTTCTTCTCGCTGCAACGATTCGCGTGTTGGGGATAGCCTGCGAAGTATGATGGACACCAGCAGCTTGCAAACGACGGGGACTAAACTTATTCCTCTGTAGTTGGAGCAGATTGTGCGCAGGCCCTTTTTGAAGATGGGTACGACTATCGATTCACCCCAAGATGATGGAACCTTCTCTTTCGACCAAATTTTCGAGAACAAAACGGTGAGTTCTCGGACCAGCGATGCGCCACCATCTTTAAATAGAGCTGGGTGAAGACCATCAGGGCCGGGAGCTTTATAACGCTTCAGGTGCCGGAGCTCCTGCTCGATTTCCTGGGAAGAGGGAGGGTCTGTTGGGGTAGACCACTCGGCCCCAGCGCGAGCGCCAGAGGTAGCAGATGGAGCTGGGGGCCAACAAAACTGCGAGCCAAAATGTTCGGCCCATCGCTCCAACCGTCGTTGAAGATTGGTGATTAAGGTGCCATCCTCTTCGCATATTGTTTCACTTATACCAGATCGAACACCTTCGGTGACTCGAAGGAGATGGAAGAGTTTCCTGGTATTACCACAGAGACTAGCAAGCTCCATCTCCCTAGCACGTTCACACCACCAAGCTTCGCGGTCCATTTGCAGACTCCTGCGCAACTCTCGACCAAGGTATTGGCGTTCTTCAACGTGTCTCGAATCCGATGGGATCAAGCGGCGTCTGTCCATCAGCGACAAGGAGTCGGCGGAAATCCAATGTTTCGGTGAGTGACGGG